ACACATAACAACTGCGCTGACATGTTGTCCTTTGATAGTCGTTTGATTAAGTTATTTTTGAAGTATGTTGTTCGTCTTCTCGAAATAATATTTTTTACCGTTCAGGTTTTTGAACAAACATTCAAAATTCCTTGAATACAAAAAAGCCCTCAACCCTAAAAATGATGGATTTTTTGTTTAATTTTGTCAATTTTAAGTGGGTTTTATGAAAATCAATCATAAGACAATATAGGGAATAAAATATGAACATTTTGATATTGATCTTATTGTGAAGACAACCAATGATGGGCGACGATTCACTAACAGCGGCAACCGAAAATGTATAATGCTTAAAAGTGATCCATTTAAAAGTTTAGTGACAAAATTGATACACCATTAAAGTTTAAAGTCTAAAACAATATCATTTTGGACATCAATAATCGCATTAAAGGTATAATTGGACATCAATAAAACGATGTCGTTTTATTCATATTGTCTCGTCGTTTAGATTTTAACGAATTAATTATATAATTGAAGCTAAAATCAAAGTTCAATACTATAATTGAAGCAGTTCAATGTTCAATGGTATAAAGGACAATGAAATAAATGATACATCATCTAAAATTCATAGTATAAGATATATAGTTTACCATAAATATTGAAATGTACAACCTTTTAGATAAATAAAAAGTAAAAAGGTATTAGAGGTTCCTATATTTAAAAAAAAAATAATATGACTCTCGTATTATTTTTTTTCTTTTAATGCGACATTTCAACTCAGAAAATAAATCTAATGTGACCCTTTGACAAATATTTTTTGTCGTTAATCGTTATGATGCCCACGTGGTAGTTTATGGTACTGAAGAGGTGGTCTACAATGTTGAACGTGACAATCCACTGTGGTTGATAACGTAGCAGATAACAAGTCAGATTGGCTAAATTAGTAACTCAAACATGGCAAATAGACCGTCACGTCAGTACTGTGGACAATCATGTCAGCACTGTGAACAATCATGTCAGCACCGTGAACTATCACATCAACACTGTAGCAATCAAAAGACGAAAAATATTGGTTAAAAGGTCACATTGAATTTATTTTCTGAGTTGAAGAATAACATTAAGATAAAAAAAATAATACGAAAGCCACGTTAATTTTTTTAAGTACAATAACCTTGATGCCTTTTTTTCCTAAATAAAAGTACGAGAGAGTGATAAGCCATTTACGACAAACAGTATATAACATCAGAACATGTAGAATTGTCAATGTTCTTAGTATCAAAGAGCTGACGGACAGCTAATAACCTTCATTCACAAAGCTGGAATCCTTGTACGAGTTACCCATCAGATATGAATGTTTTTCATTTCCTTTAACCGAATCAATCCACAAAGGATTCAACTTCGGATAAAACAGCTGTTTTTTTCCTTACAAGAAACAGTCTCAGTGGCCCTTATATGGACCGGAGCCGGAGAATTCTTGTTCCAGACAACGAGCTTCCTTGTCCGAAAGAAGTCGGTTCTCGTTCAATGTATGGATGGTAGGGCAATTAGGCCAGTTTGAACAAAATCATGTGCGAATCCCCCAAATTTTGTATTGCAAATTCAAGAGTACGACGGTGATGTAACCTGTGACGGATGCAAGATTTTATCTTAGGAGACGAACTTGAACTTATAAAATTTTAGGGGTTGAAAACAGATTTTTTACTGATAAAGTAAAAAAATATAAAATACATAATAATTTTAAATTTTTAAAGAAACGACTGACCCTCTTATCCCGTCCCATCTAGATCCATCAATGGATGTAACCTTAGATAAACCGTTTCGTAGGAAAAAAAGACAAAAAATTACTGTCAAAGTCCTTACATGCCATTTTGTAACCATAATTTTCTTCCTTCTCTTGTCTCTTTGAGAACTCTAATAGTCTAATTACTATGTGGTCAGCACATCTTTTTGTAAACAATTTAGCTTATATGAACTTTTCTATTTTTTTAGTTGTCCTTAGGTTTTGTCTTGATTAATCTGAACCGACCTGGCGCACATCTAATTTTAGTGGGTGAGTCTCCCAACGGAGATTTTTTGTATACACAATGACTTGAACCTGAGACCTTATTTAAGCGATATCAATATGCTTACCACTTGAACCAACCCTGTGGGTGAACTTTTCATTTTTTATGTATTCATGTATGAGATGTGTCTTTATAAGAACGATTCATCTAATTCGATTTATTTCATTCATAATATCAAGATTCGAGCCATCAACCATATATATTATTTAATGAATATTATACATGATTTAATTAAATCAACTAAAAATTACTGACCTTTTATTTAAATGTTCATCTGTACACTTATATTCTATCAAACGTGAGAAATGAACAGTCAAATTAGGCATTGATGAGTTTTCATGAATGAATCATTGCCTCATTTTGGCATCTTTTTAGGGGCGGCGCAAGGAGAAACCCAAAATGGTAAATTTATCGTTCAATCCTCATTGTAAACTTTGAACTAATATAATGGGAAATTTTCTGTTTGCCCCCTAAAGATTTTCATTTCAATTTTATCCGTCCAAAAGTTTTGCTGTTTGGTAAAAAAAATAGCTTTTGAAGGTCAGTCAACAATGGAGAAACAAAGTCTACAGTCGCCAAGGCAAGGCACAGAAGAATATATAAACATATATTGAATTGAAGAGGAAACGACGCGTTTTCACTATTTATAAAATGGGAAATTCTGTATTTAAGTGTTTCTGCAATAAATTCTTTCCCAACTGTCCCAAAAATATCGATGCAATCTAGTTAAGAATAGGGATAACAACGGGTAGAGTTAGGTCGGATTTTTTGTCAATTCGATTCGATTTTAAAAATATATACCCTCCACCCGAATATGACCCGATCTGAAAAATATATATCCTTCACCCGACTCGAGCTGTTCTAAAAAATATATATCCCACCCGAATCTAATCCAAGCCAAACTTTTAGAGTATAAATCCAATTCGATCCGATCATGTATAAAATAAAGACTTAATTAGAAAAAATAGATAGAGTGAGAATTATAGCAATTATCCATAAATTTATTTGAATAGATTACACTATTACCCCCAAGTCGGAAAGACATTTTTATAATAAAGATCCATCTTTGGAAAACAGTATAATGTCAAAACTCATCTTTAATATTTGATTTAATATTTAATTTAACTCCTTTTATTTTTTAAAGTATTTTAACCTTTAACATTTTATTTTGAATTAAAATAACTCCTAACAAGATGAAAATTGATAGTTAAATAACGATTAATGTTTATCGCAAACAATGTGAAATACGGTACATCAACACTTTAAATACATAATATTGTTATATTATCATTTTAAACACATAATAGTATAACATTATCATTTACTATAATAATGTAACGACAACAATATTTTGACTGGCCGTGACATAAAATGTGAATGATTATGCTTCCACGACTCCACCTTCATGCATGCAATTTAATTAATTAGTTGACATGTCTGAAAGATTGTATTAAAAAGAGAATAATCAGATTCAGACCAGGAAGGACTATCAGACACTCATACATTAATCCTTGCGATGTGTTTATTTTAGTTTTTTTTTCTTTTCGATTTCAAAGTTTTGACTTGATTAATCTGGATCGATCTACGTCGCATACCTAGTTTTGATGAGTGAGTCTCTCAACAATGATTTTCTGTATACACAATGACTCGAACTCGAGATCTTAATTAAGTAATATCAAGCTGATTATCACTTGATCAACTTATTGATCTGTTTATTTTAGTTTTAATATATAGTACTAAACTAACTTATTTGTCAACGATGCGTGCAGTCTAAAATGGATAATGTAATGAAGCCGAATAAGAAAATTATATAAATTGCAATGTTAGAAGATTTGATCTGAGAAACTGATTAATGACGTGTTTATTCAAAGTTGACCAAATCATCTTGGCTCTAAAACCGGCACTTTCGGACAAGCTATGGGACAAAGGGAAGGGGTCTTAGACATTGCAATAACACTCGAATAAACATGTTGGATGGTTGGTACAAACTACAAAAGATGAGCTGAATGATGTATTTGAGCACCATAAAGTCATTACTTAAAGATTTAGGTCAAGAAACAAGACAAAATCCCACAAGTTGCACACTTTTTCTTAGCTCCTAAGTAGGGTCATGTAATGGCAGAGGATGTCTTCCAAAAGACAAAGCAAAACCATGTGAGATTTAATCAATTTGCTTCTTGTACATGTTATTAAACATTGATCGATTAAATTCTTGCACTATACCGAGACAATGGCAATAGAAATTAAGGATGAAAATGGGTCGGGTTTGATCGGATTTTTGACCAATCTAACTTGAGAAATGTATCCCTTTCATTTAAAATCCGACCTGACCTTAATTAGGAAAAACTCCATATGGTCGAAAACTTGAATTCTCTCTCTCTCTCTATATATATATATATATATATATATTCTTATTTTTATTTGGTAAAATGAGGATCTAATTAAAAATATAGAGATATATTATTGTAATATCTCTAAATATATATAAAGAATAATTATATTTTATCTCGAATCGGATCATATATTTTCGCCTTAAATCTGGACCCGATCCAGCCTGATCGTATCCTATAAAAAAATCTTGACTCAAACCTGTAATTTAGAAAAAATTGACCCTTCAGTGATCGGTCGAAACCTATCACCTGTCACATGTCATGCCCAAGTTTCATGCACATCCCTAATAGAAACGATCACAAAACAAAAGAAGAGATACAAATTTTATAAAAATAACCCTAAACAAAAAAGAAAATCAGAGACAAATGAGGATAAATTTCATCGATGTTGAAAATAAGAATACGTTTAGTTATGTGCGATTTTTTTATTCAATAAGTGAGTTATATCATAAATTTTTCGGATCGGATCAAATAAAATTCAGATTACAAAACTTTTACAACATAGTGATTTGTGTATATATATGTGTGTGGTTAGGACTTGTCATTTCAAACCCACTATAGCTTTCTATCATTGAAGCCAACCTTTAAATTTCCTCCATTTCATACTCAAAGATGGGCATCGGATTAGTTCATGCAAAGCAAAAGCTCCAACAAACCCTATCGGCGAGAATCGGGGACGCATCGGCGACGACACCGAATGTCCCGAAAGGCCATGTCGCTGTTTACGTCGGAGAAGGCAACAAGAAAAGATTCACGATCCCGATATCTTTCTTGAACAATCCTCTGTTCCGGGACCTATTGGATCGAGCCGAGGAAGAGTTCGGGTTCAACCATCCGATGGGAGGCCTCACCATTCCATGTAGCGAAGTGTATTTCATCAGAATTACTGCAATCTTAAACACTTCAAATAGATGAAGCAGTAGTAGGAGCAGCAAAACCACAACAACCTATGAAGCAGTGTCTTGTTCTCTGGCTCAGACAAATCCAATCCCATTTAATCAACTGTAATTTTTTGTACATTAAACGGTTTGCAAAAACATGTCCCATATCATTGAAGCCGTTGGTGCAGATTCACAGAGTACTAAATGCGGTTGCGGATACAGTCAATTAGTCATAAGGCTACGGTATCACGATTACAGATACTACAGATGTTATGATATGTTTAAAAGAAAACAATTATGATTTTAAATTACGAATGTAATGTTACGATGACGTTAAAAATCATTATGATATAATTGTCGGTCGTAATTTAATATTGGGTAAAGTACACAAATTGTCACTCGGTTATAGGATACTGCTTTTTTAAGTCCGTCGATTATTAAAAAAAATATAAATTGATCCTTTGACTATATAATATTGTTTTATTAAGTCCCTCGACTATTAAAAGTTACAAAATTATCACTCGACTATTAAAAGTTACAAAAGTTAGCAATTTAATGTTAAATCCATAATACCATCATTTTTTAAATATAAAAGGATGATTTTAGAACATATTAAATAGTCGAGTGATCATTTTGTAACTTTTAATAGTTGAGGGACTCAACAAAGCAACACTCTATAGTCGAATGACTATTTTATAACTTTTAATAGTCGAATGACTTATTAAAGCTATATCCTATAGTAAGAGGACCATTTGTGTACTTTACTCTTTAATATTGTAGTACAAAATATAGATGATTTTCTCTATATTCATGGAAATTATGATGCAAAAGCAAAACACGTGTTTTGTTTAATAGTAACGACGCGGGAGGAGTGAATTATTGTAAGATTTTTAGGTTATATATGGTTTTACCCTAGTTTGGAGAAGTCTATGAAAGTCCATTTTTATTGCAAACTTTTTAGGATAATTACGTTAAACGTCCCCAAAGTATAACTTAAATTCTAAAATAGTACCAAACTTCAAATAGTTTTTTGCTCAAATCCTCAAAGTATTATATCTAACAAGAGACCATGGCATGGTAAAATTATTATTAAGTCCCTCCAAAATAAGTTAAAGCATGATAAAGTTGCATTTTGCTACCTTATATAATAAAATTATGGTGTAATCTTTCTAAAACTTGTAAAGTTATAAGCTAATACGTGATAAAGTTGAATTTCACATCTCATAAAATGGTAAATTACGTATTTAGTACTTAAACTATCATTTTTGAAATGTTTTAGTACCTAAACTTTAATTTTTTCCAAAAAATTCCTAAAGTTTAGTTTTTGTTTCATTTTAGTACCCCCATTCAAAATTTAACGTTAAATTTTGAATTTTTTTGAAAGTTTAGGTATTAAAATAGACCAAAACTGATAGTTTAGGTACTAAACGCGTTAAGTTTTTAACGGTGTGGTACTAAAATGAAACAAAAACTAAACGTTAGGTATGATTTTGAAAAATATTAAAAGTTTAGGTACTAAAACCGACAAAATCTAATAGTTTAAGTACTAATTGCATAGTTTACCCTATAAAAATTGTAATTTAATTTTATGTTCTGTAAATTTTATCATATTTGCCCATGAATCTAACGTGAAACATATTTAAATCCCGCTGGGATCCAAGGGTCTTTACGCCAAAATTTTGTAAAACTCCTATTAGGGACCCTTTAGAAATGATAAAATTATAAGTTAATAAAATAGTAAAAATTTCATTTTGGCCCCAAGAAAATCATGATTCAATTATGACCCCTAACTTCTTTTTTGACTTCACCTTGGCCTCTCAAATGCCAATGATATCATTTTTTAACGATTCGGATTTAATTACAAAAATAGTCCCTTGAATATAAGATATTGCTTTATTAAGTCCTTTGACTATTAAAAATTAAAAATTAATCCTTCAACTATAGAAGGTTGCTTTGTTAAGTCCCTCAACTATTAAAAGTTATGAAATGATCACTGACTATTCATTATGTTCCAAACTCATTCTTTTTCGTTAAAAAAATTTACAATTTTTTAAGTTGGACGTTAACATGATGACTAGGATATGATAGTCATTTGAGATACTAGGATCGAGTTTTATCGTATCACAGTCAACAAATTAACATTCAGCTCAGAATATTGTTCATTTTTAGTGAAAAATGACAAGTTTGGAACATATTTCATAGTCGGGTGACTATTTTGTAACTTTTAATAGTAAAGGGACTCAATAAAACAACATTCTATAGTCAGAGGACTATTTTATAACTTTTAATAGTCGGAGGACTTAATAAAATAATATACTATAGTCGAGGGACAATGTGTGTATTGTACCCTATATTTTAATATAATTTACGTCAGATTCAAACAAGTATTTAACACCCAATTTAACGTTAAACTAATAGAAAACTTAGTGGATATTAGTTTGAATAGTACTCCATTAATACAATTTGAAGTTTAAAGCCTAATTTTGAATAAAGTCATAAATTTGAAATATGTGATACAATTAATCCATGGGAAATTACCAAAATTTGGATAAACATGGTGTTTCCTTTACGAGTAACAGTTTCATTTTGGCCCTGGTGGGGACCGGACAATTTGAAGTACGATGATGGACAGTGACGGTTTTGTCTTGTAAGTGAGTAAAGGTTGGCCATTTAGAACCCACAGTTAATCATCCACGTGGCAACATATGGGATACTAGAAAAAGACCACTCCTAAGTTAACAATCATTTTCTGTAATAATTTGCTTCATCATCGTGGTCTTCACCAACACACAATCAAATTTGTAGTAACAACTGTTGAAAGGAAATTAGTTGCAGAGAGGAAATGATTAAAACTAGAGGGACTAAATTCCAAGCTAACCCAAACTAGAGGGAGTAAAAACACAATTAGACCAAAACGATCAAGTAGATTTACATTTACTGCTTTTGCAATAATATCCTCTTTGATGTCTGTCCCTAGTGTTGGAAAAACATCTATATAGTTGGTGACTTAGAGTTATCAAGAGATGTCCCTGCAATATTAGTATAATGGACCAACACCGAGGACCTTGAAGAATGAAGACCCTTCACTAAAATTCACCATTCAAATGCACCCAAAGCTTTGATTCGAATCAATGAATCAATTTGATTGCAGAAGTTTGAAACTTTTCGGTTTATCTAAGCTCGAATCACGGAACTCGTCGTCGGTAATCTCGACTCCTAACGAAGCGAAAATGACTACACGGCGAAGAACTATTGCGGAAGTTAAGCGAATCTTAAAAAGTCTACGAGAAATGTGCATTGAAGATGAGACCTAGAGACATTGCAAGCTGGCAATGACCAAGCCTAGTTTGGTACGTAGGGGAAACGACTCTGCTAAGCTTTTAAGGCTAAGTTCAATGCTTCAAGTACATGATGAAAACGAATCATCAATGTTAACTTGAGCCCTGTGATGTCTTTGATGTCGAAAGTGCATCGTAATTCAAAACAAAGGCGTCGAAAAATACGTATTTCGTACACGATTTCGCAACTTCTACATTGCACTTTTTCGAGTTTATTTGTAAAGGTCGGGCAGAATGCTTCGTATCAGACAAAACAGAACCACGTGGAACTTTAACTATGCTGCACAACTATATATAGGTTTAGGTACCAAAGGTGTCATTTTAACACTATTTTGATTGCAGTCTAAGTCTAATACGTGTATACAATCAGTGGGGTTAGCTCGGACCAAGAAAATGCTCTGCGGATGCCTTTTGTCGAGAATTTGGGATCCGTCTGAGACGAAGATTGTTGCGAAAGGCCACATTGCAGTATACGTAGGGGAAACCAGCAAGAGGAGGTTCATGATTCCTATTGCTTACTTGAACCATCCTCTATTCAAAGGCCTGTTGAATATGGCCGAGGAAGAATTCGGATTCGACCATCCGATGGGCGGTCTCACGATTCCGTGCAGCGAAGAGTATTTCATCGGTATTTCGAAAATGTTGAAATTTTCATAGACGGTGACCATAGGTCATGTAACTGTGCTATGTTGTTTTAGCACACTTGCAGATACTGCCCCATGCTGAAATATTCATTGGCTATCTGTAAATAAACACTTCTAGGTAAAATTGTGCTAATTAACCCTTTGCTGACAACAAAACATGTTACTTAGCACAATAAAGAATACATACATACATGCATGTGGTGTTTCAATATTTTCAAGTAACAGAACAAAGAGGGAGACAGATTACATATATCGTTTTTTGTCTCTTTGCAATTTGCATGCATGAAGACATCGACATGTACTTCTGATTTTTCCAGTAGGATATTGTAATATCATCGAAACTTGTGCCTAAAGGGGACCCGCAAAGCTACTAATTTTAGTATATCAGCCCACTGGTTTTCCAGTTCATCTCTGATGTTTTCTTCGTCGCATGGTATTCCTACGGTAGAGTGTTGTTTTGTTGATACCTTTGACTATTAAAAGTTACAAATGATCATCCGATTATTCATTATGTTCTAAACTCGTCTTTTTTTTATTAAAAATTGAAGGTATTCTGAGCTGAACATTAACATGTTGACTGTGATATGATAAAATATGATCACAGAATCTCATATGACTATCATATCTAGTTATCATGTTAACATCCATCTTAGACAACCGACAATGTTTTTTAATGAAAAAAGATGAGTTTGGAATATAATGAATAGTCAGATGACCATTTTATAGCTTTTAATAATTGAAGGACTTAACAAAGTAACATTTTATAGTTGAAGGACTATTTTATAACTTTTAATGATCGAGAGACTTAATAGTATCCTATAGTCGAGAGACCATTTGTGTACTTTACCCAATTAAAAATTAATAGATTGATTCTTATTTGATTAGTGTGATTGTTATTATAAAATTTAAGAAGACATGAGTTTTAAGCACATTTAACTTTATAATATTTTTTTTATTAAAATATCATTTTATTTGAACATATAATGTATTGTATTTATCTTAGATTATAAAAAAATTATAATATTTTTATTAAAATATTTTTTAAAACAATGATAATTGAATTTTACTAACAAAATAAATGAAATAATCAGAATTACAACGCATCTAAGTATAAAAAGAAGAACAAGGACAATA